GAAAGCTCTAGAAGGTAGCTTGGGATGGCAGCAGCAAAGGAGTGAGGTGGGTGTACATCATAGCAGAGAGGAAAAGGCATCTCACAGTGCTCATCCATCAGCAACCACTCAGTCCAGCAGTATCAAGCCACATGTTTAATTGAGTCAATCTGTACAGTCTATGTCAAATTTAAATGAAGTGTTATCCTGGAGCCTACCAGCTCCTGCATTCACTGGTGCAAACAGACTGACTAGAACGTGGTACAGACGTCTCACACTTTTTCTTGACTTGCTAACAAATGACATTAACTGCCTTTAGAACTTATTTCTGAGGGCTTCTCTCCACCTTGAAACAAAAAAGAAAGCAGTAGAAAAGGTTCAGGCCAATGCAATGGCTGTATCAAGTATGGAAAGACTTTTGTAGGAGAAGAGGTCAAACTGGGTAGCACCTCCAGTTTGGACAAGAGGCAGCGAAGGAGAAGCATAATGGATAAAATCATAACATTCATATTTATAGAGATCAGGTAGTGCAGAGGAAGTGAACAATACAAACACAAGGAAGAACTTCTTTACTCTCATGGTGACGGAGCACTGGAACAGGCTGCACAGAGAAGCTGTGGAATCTCCTTCTCTGGAGATATTCAAGACCCATCTGGACACCTACCCACCTGCGTGATCTGCTGCAGGGAACCTGCTTTGGCAGAGGGATTGGACTCGATGGTCTCTGGAGGTCCCTTCCAGTCCCTACAGTTCTGTGATTCTGACCAAGATTCACACCTTGGAACTGCTATTCACAACAAGAAAAGTTGAGGATACATCACTGTTATCTTAGAAACATTTGAGACAAAGTAGACCTTTTTGATAAAGTGTGTAATTAAATTATGGAACTTAGTGCTGTAGGATTTTGTGAATGTCAAAATGGAAATCCAAAGGCAAGAATCAAAACCACAGACACAGATATAAGCCCCATCCCAAGAGGTCTCCAGGTTGAAGGCTGCCATAAGTGAGGAAATACGCTGTAAGCTCACTGTCCTTGTGGGCTGCCCATTTGTTTTTTTGCTTGCATCCACCACCAGTCACTGTCAGAGACCTTTCTTGAATCAGCAGCCCGTCCACCTGATCCAGGATCAGAGCAGCTTTCAAAGCTCAGTACCACTTCTTTTACACCTGCCCACCTTGAGTTTCCTTGGCCACGCTACTCCTTATCATTTCAGATGGGCTGAGGATTATCTAGGACGTTGTAATTCAATTGGCAACGCAATGTTTCTGTTGTCAAGATATGAGTCACATTTTCATGCACAGATCTGATTCCAGAGACACAGTTGCAAAAGCATCTTTTCAAACTGTTCTCCTTAACACCCAATTCAATTTTTCATCTAAGCTAAGCTGTCAGCAAAAACTGCTCTGCAGTGAGTGGCAATCAATACGGTCTTGTCTCTCAAGAAGATAAGAGTTTTGACATAGCAGGGCTCTCACACAGAGGTTTCCTTTTGAAAAAAGCTTCTAAGATGCTTTTTAAAAGCAACTGTTTTCATTAAAATCATCTGCTTTTGTACAGAAAATCTCTATCTAAGGAAGCAGGCTGCTTGCCTCAACACCTGAGGAAATGTCAGTAATATTGCCATGGATGCCCCTGGGAAGATGCATTTCTTCAGTTTTGCTTGACATTTTTCACTCCCTATTCTAGAAAGAAGTGTCAGCCAGGAGTTGCCAGGAAATATGTTTTCTGATACATGGCATGCTGTCCCAGCAAAGCATCACTGTTCAGCAACTGGTTGCTTGTCTAGAACAACAAGGAATATGAATTGTTCAACTATGGTATGGAAGAGCTTATCATAGAATCAAACATAGAATCATCGAACAGTTTGGGCTGGAAGGGACCTTTAAGATCATCCAGTTGCAACTCCCTGCTATGTGCATGGACATCTCCCTCTAGACCAGGTTGCTCACAGCTCCATCCAGCCTGGCCTTCAATGCTTCCAGGGAGGGGCATCTATACCTTGCCAGGCAACTTGTTCCAAGGTCTCACCACCCTCACAGTAAAGAATTTCTTCCTAATATCTAGTCTAAATCTACCCTCTTCCAGTTTAAAACCATTTCCCTTTATCCTGTTGCTACCCGCCCTTATAACAAGTCCCTTCCCAGCCCTCCTGCAGGCCCTTCAGGTACTGGAATGCTGCTCTAGGGTCCGCTCAGAGCCTTCTCTCCTGCAGGCTCAAGAGCCCCAGCTCTCAGTCTGTCTTCATAATGTGATACGATACATTCACAGATTTCATGAAAGCTGAAAACAGTGGGAGCAGAATAAAGGAACTGCATTATGCAGAAGGAAAAAAAAAATCAAGCTCAATACAAAGAAAACATTTCCTAACAAAGATGTCTATTAAATGGCTGAAAAGTCTGAAGAGAAGAGGTGGAGGCCTCATCACCTGAGGTATTTAAACCCAGGGCAGACAAAGCATTCATCTCTACAGGGACAGAGGAAACAGACAGAATGCTTTCTTTGGATTTTTTCCAACCATCTCTGGTTTTTATGATTTAATACATTTTTTTAAATGCAAACCACATTCACGTAACACAAGCAGGAGGCAGAAACACAATAAAATGATTTTAGCTGTAGCATTGCCAAACACAATGAAATTTGATTTAAACTGAAATTTATGCTACCAATTCAAACTGTGAGATGACTTCTCTTTGTTTAAGGTCTAGCACTGAAAGCTTTGTAACTGCCACACACATCTCTGGAAAGGTAATTTAGCATCCCCACATGGGGGATCTATTTTCTCAACCAGAGCTTCTGAAACTGTGAGGCTCCAACTAGGAGAGCTGATGCAGGAGGCAGAATGATGTACAGAAAACCATTGGAACGGAGGTTTCGTGCCAACATATAAACTCCCTGAGGACTCTCCTGCACTGAATGTTTACTGATGTCACTTAAAGGATAACATCTAATCTGCCAGCATGAAAGAAAACGTTGACACTCAGAACAGTCTCTTTCCATCACTTTGTAGGTCTTAAAATGGTTCCATGATTTTCAGTTCTTCTTCCCCATTTTTTTCTGCTTGAAGGCACTGCTCCATTTAAATAAATTGCACAGTCTTGGTTTTGTTAAAAAAAAAAAACACAAAGAAGTGCTACAACCAAATCTGAGGAAACTTAAGGTAGTTACAATGAGTTTGTTTGAGAGTGGAATGCTGTGCATCTTCCCTACAGGAAGATGAAATGATGACCCACACCTGCTTTACCAGAAAGCAAGATCCATAGCTGGAGTGAGCAGCCACAGAGGTGACACAGGGCAGTCAGGTCTCGGTGCTCCTCAGGATTGAGGCAGCCCCTCACAGGTTTGGGATGAGCCAGGACAAGGCAGGACGTAGCCATGCGATTGGCCTGCTTTGACATTAGAACAGTGTTAACAAGATTTCACCTACTTAATTGCATTCCATATTGCCATATGCAGGTTTGCAGGCATACAGTCGATATAGCAGGACAAAGCTCGCTGTGCAGCTGAAGCAAATCCAAATGGGACTTAGTCAATCTCATTTACCAGACCAAAGCTTTAAATAGTTTATGTCATAGAGGAACTGTGTCCAAATCTAAGGATCTCTTTTTTTGTTTGTTTTTTTTTTAAACTATGAAGGCCAATAACTTGGCGTGTAGAAAGTGAAAATACTCAGCTGTAGTAGCATTGCCAGGTGACTTTTAATTACCAAACAAGCTTGAAAAATCAGAAGGATCAGTCTGAAAAACTTTACTGGCAGCTCTGCTCCCATCTCTCTTGAACACTGCAGCTTTGCTCCAGGAACAGCTCACTTTCTGCTTTGCATGGCTCTGCCTGAAGGTCCAACATTCTGTTCAGTGCCCCTCAATCTCCACAGCTGTCCCTGAGCTCCACAGCTGGCCCCACAGCTCGCTGCCCAATACATCACAGCCCTGAAGGCCCATTGCCTCCCTTGGAGCCTGCTCCTCATGTAACCCACGGGCTCTGGGCTTGGGCCATGCTTGCAGAAATGCTCCATTCTGCATGAGATCCTGCTCAGAGGAAGGTCCACCTCAGCATCCTTCCAACATCGTGCCCCATGCTACTGCATGATTCAGCCCTCAGGGAACAGCCCCACGTTGTACTGCAAACTAGCAGTACTGATGAGGATACGCTCTGTACTCACAAGATAAGCAGGAATTGAAAAACAAAAACCATCATTTGGGGTAAAATAATCCTGTGGTAATGAATTTATAACACTTTGTACCTTGTTGACTCACACGTTTGGGCAAAGCAGGAACAAAATCTTACCCATAGAATTCTCTTGGCATGAATGTAGTATTTTATGACCACAGGAGATAAGGAAAGAAGCCATAGAAAGGGAGGGAAACACTGGCAGGAGGGTGTGCAGGACTTGATTCCAGCCCCATTTACACAGGCCAGCAGAATTATTCCACTGCAGAGGATGTGAGAGCCATGAGTTTTCAGTTCTCAATCTTCAAGGTTGTGAAGAATAAAAACAATGGCGGAATACTACCTGAAATTCTTCCAGCCTCAGTCACACAGTAAATATCTTCTCCTGTTTCTTCTACAAAAAACTGAGATTCAGAACCCCTGGCAATCCTCAGTTGCCACATTTTAAGTCATACAGGAATTTTATGAGAACAAAGCTGTAATGATGTGCTCTGGCTAAGCAGCAGAGCAGCTATACAATCAGTGTTTTTCTGCACTGGTATTTTTGAGTGGATCAGTATTGCAGCAGAGTCTAAAATAACAGTGTGAATTTAACTGTGTGGCACTCTTAAAAAATAGTGAAGTGTAACACAACAAGTGTATTTGTTCGTGCTGTGATATGTAACTGGTACCTTGCAATCCTGCCAAGATGAGGCTCTGTTGTAAAACAGAGTACAAAATACCTGATGCTGAAGCTAAAATGATCATAATGAACTGGGAAATAATAAAATGGAAGAGACAACAGTAGCACTGCAGACATGTTGTGCAGAAGGAACACAGATACATCACACATTTGCAAAACCTACATCCTGTATTAGCCAGCCCTTTATTAAAGATATCATATTCAGACAAATTGAACATACCCTAAATCACATAAATCCCTAACACACAAATACATCTTCTCCCAAAGTTATGAAGTACCATTAAACCACATAGATTTCTATCTTTCTTGCTTTTTTGACATGATTATTGTTGGAGATTGGAAATTTATGAATTCATAGATGAGTCAAACCTTGCAGTATACGGGGATTGGGGAACACAGCTCTTCTAACTCTATATGCTTTACCACAAACATCAAAACAATTACTTAGGAATAGTCATTTCTAGGAATTCTGAAAATGTTTTAGTTCTAATCGTTATCCAGTGATGACAGAGAAGTTGGAAACATTTCCTTTAATCATTCAATACAAAGCTCTGCAACTCCACACACTTGAAAACTATAATTTTGCTATAGGTTTTCTTCTTACATATGTGTCCATATATACATACACACACATATATGCACTATTATAAACTTGAGTGTCAAGAAAAGCGGGACCTTCACATTTCACATTTCTCCTACGATTTCAAATAGCAATGAAACCATAGGTGTTATCTGTGCCAGCTACAAAAATTGGACTGATTTGACTTCAGACCCTCTTGATAGACACAGCCACCACTTAAGCTCTCCTTTTCCCCCTCAACATCTTCTACTCTTACCGAAGTCATTTTGTTAAGAACACATTGTTAGGCCATCCAGTCAGCCTTCCTGCAACCAACCCATCTTCCCCTTACTGCGCCTTGAGGTCGCTCCAGTTCGTGCCTGATCCGAAAGCTGTGCTTCCACTGATCATCTGCTGCTTCTCATTTTTCACTCTGCTGTGCACAGGAAAACCAGGCTGCAGCTGCGGCGTGGACCAGACTTAGTCATAAACACAAATATTAAACATTTCTTATTTTTGTGCTCTTCCAGTAGTTGAAAATTTAGCCTCAACCACACAGCGTAGAAGCAAACCTCGTAGGGCCTGATTGTATTTATGGAATAGTAAATCGCCACTAATTCCTCTGAATTCAACAGAGTCAAGTTGCACTAATTGCCACAGCTGGGGTGCCATCAACTCACAATGGTGACAGAGGGAGTTCAGAGTGTTAAATATTTTGAAGGACTACGCATAAAACAGAATCCTTCCCAGAGCAATAGTAACTTATCACAGTGCTTATCCTGTGGAATTGGAAAACAAACAAACAAACAAAAACACAAAAAAGCACCCTAAAAAGCAGAACCCCCCCCTCACATATTAATCATTTCAGAATTTTTCTGAAACGTGTGTTAGGCAGTGAAAGTCCACATCCTCACAATCAGGCAAAAAGATCTATGATTACAGCTAAAGTCACATAGGCAAGATTTTCCAGTGTAGCTGCCTAAATGTAGGCGTGCTTTTGTTGCAGGAACTAAAAGGTTGGAAATGCGGTGTGGTGGTGGAAATGCTTGGAGTGAAGGTAAACATTATGGGACACAACCAGAGTAGTTTGCAGATCTCTGAACTCTCAAAGGAAGCTAAGAGTTACACATACTTATTTAGTGCACCTAGATGAGAACAAACGTGGCTAATGGAAGTAATCCATTGCAGGAGATGAAGCTGCAACTATTGGACAAGCAAAGTGCATGGGGAAAGTGTTTTGGAGATGTGTTGTTAGCATGAGGAAAAGGTTCCTCATGCTGTAGAACACCAAAAATCTGTGACCACTGGGCACCCCACAAATATTTTTGCTGTAACAAGAACTGGAAAGAGCAAACGTTAACTTGTCTTATTCTTATTAACTAAATCATTTCATTTGCTACCAGAAATAACAGATATCCCAGAGCACGAGATTCTCTGCATTAAGAGATGCTACACATTGAACTGGAAGGTGCCTGTTATACTAACTTCTCCTAAGGCAGATCCTGCACCCTCATATTGCACGATCTAGCCAACAAAAAGCAAGGGGCTACTTATTTGAACAGCAGCAGCAGACACCAAGTTTGGCAATTTTCCATTACCCCTTTCTACAACCCAGCCCTTTAAAACATGGAAATTTTATGTCATTACTTAGCTAAAAGGAAAATAAAGAGAAAACAATAAATAATCAAATTGTAAAAAGAACCGCATAACATGGGTCACTGCTTTCACTCAGTGGGATGGTCAATGATAAAAATAAATAAGAAGATAAAGACAGGCTAAATCAACTATGCTACACATGTGGCAGTGTACCTTATTTCACTGCATTTGTTGTCAAGAAGACACGCAGTCTAGAAATTCATGGCAAACACACTGGCAAAAGCCATAAACCATGAGAATAACAAGGCTCGAGGGAACAAGGCTTACGAAGACAACCCCAAGGGTGACTTTCTTAGATACCAGTAAGTAAATCCCTAAAGGCAAAGAACTGAAGTACAGCAACCCCAGCAACCAAACTAGCACCCGAATTGAGGTCTGGAAGAGCAAGGATGTGCAGTTCCACACTGTCCAGTTGTGGGACACAGTTGCAACAGAGTCAAAACTCGTAGGCCTGTAAAATTCCACCACGGGTGTCGAGTTCAGAGTCTGGGGACTCTCTCTTTGTACTTCCATGATTGTTATAACCAGGCAATTCGAAGAGGTGTGAGAAGGGCTAACCAGAGACGCCAACCTTTTGGGAGTCAGCAGCAGTTCCGTTGGGTTGTCTGGTAGGCACTTCTTTCCCTTTCCCCCACAAGCTAAATTCAGAAGGATGTTATTGTCATCGGGAAGACTACTAACCTCATCGTCTGGCAGGCATGTTTCAAACCTGCAAAATGGGCAAACTATGACTCCTTGAGGAGAATCGCCAAAGTCTATGATCTTGCAGAGGCATTTGGCACATACTCGGTGACAACACTCCAGCACTTTTGGTTTTCTCTGTCGCAGGTTGTAGCGATTGTAGCAGATCTTGCACTCAAGCTCATCTGAGCTCTGGGGCTCTGCAGACTCCTCTTGTAGTGGACTGCTCATTTTGTCTGATGGTTTGCAGATTTGTGAAAAGAGGAGTTAGGGGAAAGAGACGTCGTCACTCAGGCTTAGTTTAGAAATTTTTCCTGATGATCGTATCAGCCATCTCAAACAGGAAAAGAGGAGATGAAATTGTCAAGAAGCATCAGTAGAAGTCATCCATTTTGAGCTTCTGCTAGGGCCTCTGTACTGCATCTCCTCCAAGCCAGGCTCCCATCTGAAAAAGATAATGTGGAATTTCAGTGGAAAACAAAGAAGGGGAAAAGCTGTCGCAGGTGAAACAAGGAAGTCCGACTTTTTACAGCCTTAGCTTCCTTTGCAAATATGCCTCCATAGTATTTTCTTTTTTCATGTGGCATATGAGACCTCTACAACAGTTATGCTGATAAAACTACTTTGTGAGTCACTGCAATTCCCCCCCACCTATGAAATTCTCAGTAGAAGATGCAAGCTAAGCAGTGACTGACTGATTAACCTGTGAATCCTTGTTTAAAGCTTAGTTTCCTAAGGCAATGAGACCTAACCTGTGGTCCTTCTGTCTTTCTGGTAACTTCTGAACCTGCTTTCCAATTTCAAACAAATTGACAGAGGTGCAGCAGTAGTGAAGATAATTGAGTTTCTAAAAAAAGTGTGAAGACTGGCTGTTGGGACAGAGGAGGGGGAGAGAGATTTATAACAACTATCACTCTTGCTGCAGGGCAATGGTCAATCAGCAGGCAGTCAGATCTGCTCTGAACAAGCCACGTGCTGCCTGATGTTCAACCAGAGAGAGCATTATAGGAGGAAGGCGGTGGTACTCTTAGGAAACAAAGAGGAGGGAGGAGGGGACACTGAAGAGGAGTGGGGTTACTCAAAAATGGCAAGTGGGGACATGCAACAAATTTGGAAAATATCAGGATTTCTTAATTGTGCCTGTGGAATTACTCATTTTCCTGTTCCTTCATATAGCTGCTGAACACAGTGCTGATCAGAGCTTGTGGAAAAGCGGGTTCTTCAGCTTCAACCCTATGTGGGTCACATAGGAAATCAGGTTAATTAAGTAGGATCTGCCTTTCCTGAAGCCATGCTGACTTGACTGGTCACTTGGTTATCCTGTATGTGCTGTGTGATGTGCTCGTGATGGCCTGCTCCGTGACTTTCCCTGGCATCGATGTCAGACTAACCTGACCTGCCATTCCACAAGTCCCCCTTCCTGTGTTTCCTGTAGATGAGTGTCACATTTGCCATCCTCCAGCCAACGGAGACCCCCTCAATTAGCCAGAACAGCTGGTAAATCATTGGAAGTAGCTTGGAGAATGGGGAGAAAGCACATCAGTGCCTCACAACTAAGACTGCCACATATCATCCCATGATTTAAAAGTAGATTTCTGATCAACCAAAAAACTTCCGGAACATCTGCCTGCTTCCCATAGAAAACCATAAATGTCCTCTGAAAACCACCAACTAGAAAACTCTTCATATTTTAATGTTTATTTTTCTAATGAATATTGCTTGTTTTCACAAAAAACAACCCACTTCTCAACCAATTACATCCATACATGTATCACTTCAGCCTGAATCAGTTTTCAAACTGAAAGTCTCCTGATTCTAGTGTTTTTAGGTAGCCAAATTCAGCTTTAATAAAAGAACTAACAATTCCATTGCAAGTCCCAGATAGTAAATTGGGAACATTAACTTCATTTCCAGAACACATCCACCATGCTCGATCCTCTTTGCAGTTTAATTCATGAGCTATTCTACAAACTATTTTCATGCTTCTTTTACTGCAAGATAGAGCTACTTTCAGCATGTTCTTCTCATGGCCTCTTCAAAATATATTAATGTTTTCAAACGTTATTGCTTGGTATCATTTTTCTTTGGCTAAGTTCAGATGCTGCATTTCTCCTATTTCTCCTTATGTGTTCTGGTGTGATTAGTGCTCACTTCTGCTTTACAGTTAGTCTTTCCTTTGAAAACAAAAAATGTAATTTCTAATGGAAAATTCAAATTTTTAAATAAAACTTGATTTCAATGAGGAATTCCAATTAGGTATATTAGGTCAAATAACAGTAATTAGAAAACTCATACTTGATACACCAATTGCTGAGGGAGGTGAGAATGAAGTCTTCAGCCTTGCAGATAGGGAGGCATGACTGGATACAACCCCATACAGGCTGCTCTCTCTTGGAACTTGACCCTTCTTTGAGTGAGGGGATTAAGCCTCTGAGATGGCTTCCAATCCAAATTATTCCAGGATTTTGTGTTTGGTATCCATAACTCACCTCATGTGGTCTGTATGAGAAGCTCTGTTTATCAAACACTCCACAGGCAAAGCGTGCTTCCAAGGCTCCAGAAACAATTAGATGTAGACTGAGATCTCAACGTCAGAGCTCAGTATGCAGGGCAAAGTAGATGGGAAACTTTTCCTTCTCTTCTCCAATGAAAGCTGATCCTAGTCCAGATTATGAAGCCAACATTTATTACTCTAACGCTTGTTCGGTGAGTGGAATTTTGGGTTATATGTGAAATACTGGCACATGAACACAGGAGGTCAGTAATTAACTTATTTAAGATATCATCACCCAGGGACCTACCCAGCATGATATTTTCAAAGGCTTTCAAAGAGTTTCTTCTAAATGCAACCCAAGTGCATTTATGGAATAGGAGAAGGAAAAAGAGAAAAGTACAGAGAGAGAAATTAATACAGAGAAACTTACTTTCCAAGAAAAAGAAGTTCTTGCAAAGATTCACTTGTAGGGAGCACAGGAAATGCCTATTCTCCTCCACACAGGAAACAACTGGTGGAAGGGAGAGAAACAAAATCAGTAGAGCAGCAATACAGCCAGGAGACCTTACAGTCAATTCTGTTGAAAGAGAAAAAGGAGTCCAACTCCTCTGGTTTGGATGGAAATATTCACATGCTAAGATTTCTGGTTAGAGAAATATATTGGGTAAATCCCATTTATTGAAATAACTTCTGCTAGGTAATGCAGAGATATCTTAACAGATCTGTTGGTGATTTGAAGCCTCTTCCAATGTTACATGCTGAAATGCTCTGAAGCATTATCTCATCTAGCATCCACATATTCACAAATGTTAGCAATTCACTCAGGAAAAAAAATACAGCAAAGTAGCTAGGGAAAAAAAACGTGCTTTGAAAGTAGGGTTTTAGAAACATATCAAAATACTTTCCTTCCAACTTCTCTTAGAAGTTCTTTGTGGTCATTCTAGCTTTCCCAAACTGCAGCCACTTCTTCAGCATAGACCAGAAAACAACCATTTCCCATGACCACTGCACTGCATTCACATTCCAACAGCTTTGCTGCATTCTGACTCAGCAGGAAATGACCATTGCACTAGATTTGTCCAGCCTGTGCTAAGCACAATGCAAAACAAAACAAACCCCAACCCAAAAACCCATCAAATCGCTTTATTATACTAATCTGACATTTGAATAGAGTGCGTTCAAAGTGCCACCAGCTATCACACATTCAACCTGCTTCATGCCACATTTCTGCTAACACTGGATGGCTTTTAACAATGAGCATCTCCCTGTCAACTCTCGTCGATGTGTAACTTTGCAAAGAGGTACAGAATGTGGCATATTGAGCCATGCTTGGTTTATGGTCATCTGTATAAAATGCCTTTTCATAAAAACACAGTTTTTGAAGGGATAAGTAATGAGCTAATTTCTAAAGGATCTCCCCTTGAATGCTGTGAATAGAATAGAAACACTGCAACATCCACAACAGCTGGTTCTGCATTACTGGCAGCTTCACAAGTAACTAATACTATATATAAATATATATATTTTAATGAGAAGGTATTGTTATAACATTCACAGTCCTTGCCCAAGCTCTCTCAATCCACTACCATATTATAATAACACAAAAATACTAAAAAGAAAACAATTCATGGCATCAGAGAGTTCATGGATCTCTGACATATACGCGTCATCTTAAATAATACTGATAATAATAAAATCAACAGTTAAGTTTTGTTTTCTTTCCCCTCCCCCCCCCCCCCCCCCCCCCCACCTTCTGATAAGTAAGAGAGATTTGCAGCTAACAGAGTTCCCTTTACTCAACACAGTGATATTTGCTCCTAGGGCACTTTCTACATCCTTTACATGTGCACACTCTATGTCACCAGACCCAATTTCCTCTTAACAATGTAAGACACAATACTTTTTTGTTCTTCTAATAACTTGCATTATGTGCCAGATAGTAGTGGAAAATGCTGTGAATAAACAGTGAATGCCCTCCTGAAACCACATTATCCTGAATGACTTTCAGTCTAGCTAGAGGCTACTATGGCAATAATATGAATCTTAAAACTGGATATGATGTAGGAAAAAAAATGTTTCATTAGTTAGGCTTGTAGACACAAGACCTCTTCTAATATTTCTTGAGAATGATTTTTTTCTCATATATAATTCACAAGCAATTTATACAGCAATACATCGAATGACTTCTCAATGTGACATACAGCTGCGGGTTGCTTTATGGTTGTTTCAAGAATAAACTAATAAAGGACAAAGGATCTGCTCTTTTAATAGCTGTCTTAATTAAACGGGCTGCTAATTACACTATATCAATAAGCAGAAAGAACAGTATCTAAAATGGTAACAAGTTTAACTCCTGAAACACACTTGTTGAACAGAGCAACTTGCTTTTAACTGGCTCCCAACCTGCTGGCTTAGGCTGCTCCAGCATTTCTTCTTGTACTGCTTTCCTACTGCCAGTGGTTTTTTCCTTTATGACTCTGAAACCAAGAAACCAACTACTCCAGTAAGAATATATTTCATGACAGAACTCCTGACCTTAAAATCATTAATTTACAGAAGTGTTGGACATTCTCTCATTTGGTAGCAGGAGGCATTTGAAGCAGCCTCCTCAAACAGGGTGAAGTACTGTTTCTTTGCCTTGGCTTTTGTGTTCCTTAGGAGCTCCTCTGAGAATTGAAAGGACTGTAGGACACTGATTCTAGAATACAACTGGAAAAGGTACAAAATGATGAACAAATAAGAAGCTTGCCAGTATTTCTTATTATAAGCATGAATGTTTAATTCTGTGATTGACAGACATGTCTCTAATTTATCTTTAAATTAGGCACTATTAAAAGCCAGTATAATTTTGTATTAGGTTTCAGACTTTCTGAAAGTTTAGCTCCCTGTTTTGCTTGCTAAGATACAGCTGAATGTCAGATACATGCAAAAGACATTTTTTCTCCTTTTTTTTTTGTCTCTGGGACAAATTACTGCTGTCCCAGAGGATGCTAAGTGAGATGCACAAAACAACAGATCCTCAAAATATGATAGAACTATTTTTCTTTAGACGTATTTTCTATGGTGTGTAATTTGAGAGGGACCAGGTGAGAAAAAATCTCAGAAAATTGCTCTTGATTACATCATTCTGTGAGAAATTCCTCTTCACAAAGCGAAAGCATTTAAACGCACCTCGAAAGTTCAAATTAATCTTCAAAATGAGTTTTAAATAGAAAGTGTTGTTGGCTTTGTCCTCATGGAGCTGAAAGTAACTGCAGAGCGGAATAAAGCTGTATTTCCTTCTTTTTCTGTTGCTATTGAGAACAACCTGTTCAACACAGAGGTGTGTTTATCCAGGTTCATTCTGCTTCAGCCATTTCTGAGGATATGACTATAAATAAGCATTTTACAATGCTGTGTATTTTACCTAGATGGGTTATTACCAAGAGAAAATGAAAATGGCGTGGGATTGATGATACAGGACAATACAGACAGAGAAGTTTAGAGATCAGTTGCATATAATTGTTAATATATTCTTCTGCTTCAGTTACTGCTCAGAAATTGAGCATTATGCTCTGATGAAAGGAAAACAGTAAGAAACAGTTAAAACAACTGCAGTCACAATCAATCACAGAATGTTGGAGAAACACACGTCAAAATAACCCATACCAGTGGAGATTTCCACCTCTCAACAACTTCCCCAGGCTTGGTCTTCCACCAGCATAGCCTTTTTGAAAAGCTGGCAATCAAAATCTAATCTGGCTGACGCTGCAGAGTCCCACTGTGTTGAAAAGGGAGAAGTCTCGGGAAACAATATTTTAACTTGCATATACTGAAGTGTAATTTTAGTACTTAATATAGCAACAGTTGGCACGTACTCCCTTTTCACTTGATGTTATTATAGATACAATCATAGAATGGCTCGGGTTGGAACGGACCCCAAGAATCATCACGTTCCAACTCCCCTGCCACAGGCAAGGCCACCAATCTCCAGATCTGGTACTAGACCAGGGCCCCATCCAACCTGGTCTTGAACATCTCCAGAGACAGAGCATCTATAGCCCCTCTGGGCAGCCTGTTCCAGCATCTCACCACTCTCTCTGTGAAGAACTTCCCACTGACATTCAATCTTCCCTCCTTGAGCTTAAAACAATGCCTCCTTGTCCTATCACTGTCTACCCTCGTAAAAAGTTGATCCCCCTCCTTTTTATAATCCTCTTTTGAATGCTGAAAGGCTGCAATGAAGTCTCTGAGCAGCCTTCTTTTCTCCATGCTGAACAAACCCAGCTCCCTCATCCTGTCTTTGCAGGGGAGGTGCTCCAGCCCTCTCATCATCTTTATGGCTCTACTCTGGACCCTCTCCAACAGCTCCACAATATGAATTGAATCACAGTGATACAACTAAGAAAAAGGCTGTTTTAAAATCTTATTAAGATATTTTTAAGACCAACTACACAAATATTTATGAAAAATAGCATATTAGTAGATCTGATGGACGCATGGTAAAGCTAAGTTGTACGTCTTCATCCACATTTACACGAATGGAATGAACCCAACTGAATGATGTGTCTATTAAGTGACTTTGACTATAGTATGTAAAACCCTCTTACAAAATATCAGCAGGAAAGGGGCCATTTGGTCTGTACAAGGAAAGCAGTATTTTAAGTGTACTAGATACCTTTTAATCTGCACTGCTTTTTCAAACACTTCATATTATTAACCTGCACCAACCAGCCTTTTTTCCATCTAGTTTTAAGAAATATTTCTCTTTAGTAATGAAAATTCCCTCAACCAATAAAGAGGAAAAATGCTGTTACACTTTTATACTCACAGTAAGCAAATTACAATCTATGATCCCCATGGTCCTAAGAAACTGCAGAAGAAAATTTACTGTTAGCAGGTTTTGGTGATTGTTTGATGTTATTGTTTATATTGCTGTTGGATTTACATGAGAAAAATAAATCCATGTATTAAAAAAGTTGAATTAATTTGTACCAAATGATAGGCACATCTTTCACTTTTTTGCTAATAAGAAATAGAAAATTCCTCTTAAAGAAAGGCAGCTTTAAGAATTAGTCTGAAAACATCTTTGTAATTACTATGGATGATCTGAGACCAACAGAGATCCGTAAGTGCTACATAACCAGTTTCAGGATCACTGTGGAGTATTCTGCTACCAAGATTTGCTTAGCTCAGATTCATGCCATACAAGATTTAAACTTCAGGGAGATTTATGTGCATTGCTCTGCTTTTAACATGTTATTTAGCAGTTAAATATTTTTTATCTTTTTTTTTTTTTTTTTTAAAACCTGTCCTAAACCATCAGTGGAAGAGTTTTGGTGTGACAGGATAGAATATTACAAGCAAAAAGCAGAGTCCTCATGGGCTGCAACTCCACATGCTGTAATAAAACACAGACTAAACTCTGTTTGGCATAACTGCTTTCTCAAGAAGAATCCTCCCATTCATAGTCTCGATGTCTCCTTGAGCATTAGCTATGCAGAAGTAGCCTTCTCCAGAACTAAGACTTTG